AATAAAAACATAAAACTGAAACGAAATAAAATAATAATTATTTTGGTACATTGTGTAGTGTTGCATCATCATTCATGAGTGTGTTAGAGGTAGAGCCAGAGAGTACTGTCTCTCACTTGTCTTGTCTCTGTAAGTTGTTCCTCGCAGAGCACTCAAAGACCCCAACCCTTCAACTTTTATTGATTCTTGTCCATTTCTGAACTTCCTCATTTTGTAAAATCCATTTCAAAAGATAAAAACAATTCTGTAATCCTACATTTCAATTTGCCTTAAGTTTTGAACCCATTGTATCAGGATTCATAAATCATAAAATTTGAAAATGACTTCAGTAATGTGTCTCTTACATATAACATAATACCTTCTATATCTTAAATGAAATTAAAAAAATGTTAGACTAAAATTCATGAATTTCATCTGAAAAGTTTATTAAAAAGCCGTTTTATATTATAGGTTAATTTCTTACAATTCACAGTGTGGAGACTTTTAACATAGCTTAGGTTTTTGTTATGTACTGTCAATAACGAGTTTGAACTAGATTATTCACGCATAAACAACATTTTCCAACTGATTATATATCAGATGGTCAACATCGTTTAGTTATTTTCAAAATTTTGGAAAATAATCAACGAATACCAAATTAAATTTCAACTTTCATTTTTTTTTTCCTTGGGGTTGCAGACATTCTGCTCTTTTTGCTTAATTTTTTTTTTTAAACCAGCGGTTAACAAATAATTACATACCGTATGAAGCTACTCCAACTGACGACAAGAAAAAAAAGCTACTCCAAATAAATATATAAAAAAGAATTCTTTTAAATATTGTGATATATTATTGATAACCCCTTTTTTCATCGGTTCAAAATACCTAATCATATTTTCTTTTGGGTCAGTGTATTCCCTTCAGACACGACCGACAATATTATCGAAATTTTGATAGGTCTATACAAGGTTTCTACTTTGAGCTAGAACAGTGTGTGTTGCACATATTTTTATGCATGACGTCGAATCTAATAATTTGAGGGCATTAACGCTACTTGTGGTTGCATGTTAGTTTGTACTGTATGTAGTATACATATTTTCCGAATACAATGAGACTTTGTTCCAATTACATAGCGCAACTACAAATGGCTCTAATGTGATCGCCAAGAAAAATCACCACTAGTAATAAAATATAAACGTCATTTATGAGAATTTCCACCAACAATCATACTCAGTTATGAGAATATATACAACATAGATTTGATGTGGATTGAAATTGAGCATTCGGAGTTGGCCTTTCGACATAGATATGGAATCATGGCCTTTCCCATATATGGTTAGAACAAAAAGGACCTTTCAAGAATCAATACACCCGTTTATTATCACCATTACATAAGTTCCATCATAATTATTCACATTTTTGTATTGATACGAATATTTTTCATTTTAAAGCAAAAAAAAGAATGAGGAGACAATCGACATTGAAATGAGGGACCCCGAATCTCTACATGATTCTCTTGTTTCATCATTACCCACCCAAACCTATATTTAGTGAAACCCTTGTGAGACTCCACCACATGCATACTCCCAAAATTAGCATCTCTTGCTTCTTTAAGTAATAATTCGTTTTTTTGTTTTAGATAACTGATATAACTCATAATTTTACGAAAGAGAGAAATCTTTTTTTCATGCATATGATGATTCCTTGTACGTTTTAACATTAACATAACAGTCTTAGATATTGGCAAATTACACATACTATCACAAAAATACAAATCCAAATGTAAAACCAATCATTTTTTAAAAATAAAATAGACAATCAACTTCCTATGAGTGCTGAAAGTAGCCATCGCTGAATAATTCCAACACATAAATGAATAAAACAAGTATCCAATGTTACTCTTTACCCTTTAGACTTGAGTCGAAATCAACAAAAAAATGATACAAAAATACATATAGAACCCTTTAAAAACAAAAAGAGTTTAGACTTTAGTATAAAGTTTAAAAAACTCAAATTTTAGTTGCAGGTTCTTGAAGCGCAAGAGGAATGGCTGGTCTCCAAGTTGTTCCCTCGGGACTATCCATCAAAGCAATCCCAACATTAGCCAAATCTTTCCTAATTGCATCAGATCTTTCGTATTCTTTATTGTTCCTTGCGTCTGTTCTCTCTTGCACTCTCTGCAACACATGTTCCTCTTTCAGTCCAGCACGCTTTAGTGCCTTCTCTTTGAGCTGCTCAAGAACCTGAGAGTACCGAAGGAAACAGAACTGTTCAATACAAAACATAAAGGAAGGAGAATAAGCGACAGGTTTGGGCAAGTTTGGTCATGCCGCAACATCCATAGCTCTGCAGTAATGGAAGCTGTACCTCTGAGTAGCTTGTGGGCATAAGCCCTAATATAGTAAGAACGTCTCTGATTGTTGTCTCTAGAGCCTTAAGTGACTCTTCTCTTCTTGGTTGCTTTTTCCCCTGAAGATCAAAATAATCACTTTTTTTAACTCCTTCTATTACTGATTCATAAAAGATGACTCTTGCAGTAAGTTATATATACCTTTCGGGTGTGAATGAGATCGTTGATGGTTTTCAATGGTTCTGACATTGCAGCCAGAGTTACGGGTGTGAGAAGATCATCAGACATCGAGGCAATGAACTCACTACGGAATGTGTTGATGCATGCCAAAGTGTCTGAAGGAACTAAACTATTGTCAAATGTCGAATCTTTCTGGCCTAATACGCTTTCACAGTCGTGTAATGTCTGTCAATAAACAAATGAGCATCTTCAAAATTACAATGTCGCAAAACTTTGTCAATAGCCACATTAAGCATCTTACACACAAGAACAAGAGAGATTCTCCAAAAATAAAATCTTTCTACAGATAAAAACAAAGTATATAACCAAGGATTACCTGATAAATGTAAAAAATGCGTTCAGAAGCACTCTCGAGGAGGAAATCGGAGTAATTGATAGGAGACCGATAATGAGTTCCCATTAGAAAAAGTCTCAGAGCTAAAGGATGATAAAGATCTATAACCTGCAAATCTCATAGGATAGTTTTCCCAAACACAGACTTTAGACATTAACGTTAAAATTTGAAAAGGAAAAGAGTAAAACTTTTTAATATATATAACCTGTCTGATTGTGAAGAAATTCCCCAATGATTTGGACATCTTCTCAGAGTCAACAGTTACAAAACCATTATGGATCCAATAGCTAATGTTGCTACTATCACAAGCAGCACAACTCTGAGCAATCTCATTCTCATGGTGAGGGAAGACAAGATCCATTCCTCCACCATGTATGTCGAAGCTATAACCGAGATAAGCCGCGCTCATCGCGCTGCATTCAATGTGCCAACCGGGCCTTCCTCTTCCCCAAGGGCTCTCCCAAAAGGGTTCCCCTTCTTTTGCAGTCTGCCAAAATATATTCAAAAAGCATTCTAAGACTCTTAAGGTAAGAAAACCGGTACTAGATGGAGGGCTAAACCGGGATTGAAATGCGTACTTTCCAGAGAGCGAAATCGGCGGGATGTCTCTTCCTTGTGTCAACTGCGACTCTCTCACCTGCGCGGTTGTCTTCTAATTTTCTCCCAGATAATTTTCCGTATGTTGGAAGTTTGTCGACAGAGAAGTATACGTCTCCATCAACTTTGTAGGCATAGCCATTATCAAGAATCTGATAAGGAGAACATCGCAGATGAATGTAAGCAAAACTGATCATTTTGGATCCACAAGATGAGGAACAAGAAGGAAGTAAAAAATGGTATAAAACCTGCTTGATCAGGTCGATGATTTGAGGTATATGATCCGAGACGCGTGGTTGAACAGAAGGTTCTAAACACTGAAGCTGTTCCATGTCTCGATTAAACTCCTCACAGAATCGTCTGCTCAAACTGATTGGATCTTCCCCTAGTTCATTGGCTCGGGCAATTATCTACAAAAATTTGAACTTTGATGGCTCAGTTGCATATGAAGCAACAAAAATCTAGACAAGTACAGCTTCACAGAGGAAAGTGAAATTCTATCTTAGCAAATAGTGGCCGAGAAGAGTATCTTAAAAGCGGTTCGAGAATGTAACCAGTAGCTACCTATCCTATTGATTTAACGTTAACACAAAACTCAAGCTTAAGACTTAAGAGGTTCTCACTGAAACTTTCCTGAAGGAGCTCAAGAACTTACTCTACAGCTTCTAAACAGAGCTTAAGTTGTATACGAGACTTAAACCAAAAAAGAGTTAGCTTTGATTTGCATTGTGAGAGCCAGTTTATTGACAACATTTATCTCACCTTGTCATCAACATCCGTGAAATTTCGAACATAAGAAACTTCATATCCTAGATGCTTAAGGTACCTGCCTAATTCCCAATCAAAATCAAAAACAGGGGGAAAAAATCAAAAGTCAAAACTTTTCATAAACCCAGAAAACTTTGAAGCTTCTTTCTCCAAGTCCATACCTCAAGAGAACATCGAAGGTGACGTAGACGCGCGCGTGCCCAATGTGGCTGAGATCGTAAGCAGTGACGCCGCAAACGTACATTCCAACTTTACCTTCGACCTTGGGTTTGAACAGCTCCTTCTTCCGGCTCATAGTGTTGTGCAACCAAAGCTCCTTTCCCCCGGAAACCGAATCTCCTCCGTCCGTTGTTGGGCTTGTCGACGGATGTGATGATGTTGATGATGATGATGAGAGAGCCGTGAAACAGCGACGGGATAGAGTCAACTTTCCGTGTCTGAAAGGATGTTGGATTCTGAGATGAGAAGTGAATTGAGACCTTGGAAAGGAAGAGAATCGAATTGGAGTAAAGGGTCTACATGATTTGAAGAGATTGAGAAGTGAAGAAGCCATTGGTGGGAAACGATAAGCTCCTCCCGATCAAAGAAATCTGATAAGAAGCGGCGAGGGAGATGTCTTAAACCCCTGAACTAATACCGGTTTATATGAACCGCTGCTGTTTTCCGGTTCGGTTGAACCGAACTGTTATGTCGTCAAAGATGTTATTGTATCAGTCGATTGTAAAGTTTAAAACTTTTTTAAAAAACCCTATTTTTCTCGCATTCTCTCTTCTAGATTCTTCAATCTGTCGACTCTCTCTTCTCCAATACTTTTTTCTTTAAATCCTTTGATTGTCACCACTTCCGGCTAGATATGGTGTTTGGACAAGTAGTAATTGGACCTCCTGGATCAGGCAAAACCACTTACTGCAATGGAATGTCTCAGTTCCTCTCTCTTATCGGCAGGTAACATCCTCTTTTTCTTTTGCTCAATTTTTTTTCTGGTTTAAAACCAAATAAAGAGGCTTACTTACTTTTGTAGCTGTAATTATGTTTATATTGGTCTCTAGCTTCGTAGAAGTCACAAAGTTCAAAACTTTACTTTTATGTGAGTGTATAATTCCATAAATTTAGATTACCCAACTCTTGAGCTGAGTCATTTGTGGAATGTTATTGCCTTGTCTTTGTTTTGCAAGAGAGATTCCTGAGGACTTCTCTGAAACTATATTCTCTTTTCTTGTTTGCAGGAAGGTTGCTATTGTTAATCTGGACCCTGCAAACGATGCATTACCGTATCCTTTGTTTTTTATAATGTCAAATTGCAAAGAAAATGGTTGAGATTGGTGAAAACCATTTGTTTGTTTCTTTGACATTGAGCTTTTAGGTATGAGTGTGCTGTGAATGTTGAAGAATTGATTAAGTTAGAAGATGTTATGGTGGATCCTGCGCTTGGTCCTAATGGAGGTGAGTTTCTTCTCAAATCTTGATTTTCCTTTTTTCCTTCTTAAAGAAAACTTATCTTTGATCAAAATAACAACAAATTTATTGCAGGTCTTGTGTATTGTATGGAATATTTGGAGAAAAACATTGACTGGCTTGAAGCTAAGTTAAAGCCTCTTGTGAAGGGTTAGTAGCCAACAACAATGAAGTCTCTTCTCTTTTAGTCTTTGTTTTTTAATATCGTAATGTCTCATCGTTAAAGTGTAACAAGTTTTAAAACATTTTTGCAGACCATTACATTCTCTTTGATTTTCCTGGCCAAGTGGAACTGTTCTTCATTCATGACAGTAGCAAGAATTTTCTCACGAAGCTGATAAAATCGTTGAACCTTAGAGTATGTGATTGTTTACTAATTTGCTAAAGTGAGCTGTGTAAGAGTCTAATATATATATCTGATTAATTCTTTTCTCCTTGGTCTTGCAGTTAGTTGTTGTGCAACTAATTGATTGCCATCTATGTAGTGATCCAGGGAACTACATAAGCGCGCTTCTTCTCTCATTATCCACAATGCTTCATATGGAACTCCCACATATCAATGTCTTGTCCAAAATTGATTTGATTGGGAGCTACAAGCTAGGTATCTACCTGTTTAAAGATCTTCTTGCTCTCATAATTATAATGCGGACTCACTAACTACCATCTCTCTGTGTTATGTAGCTTTCACTTTAGATTTCTATACAGATGTTCAGGACTTGTCATACTTGCAGAACCATCTTAATCAAGATCCTCGCTCTGCTAAGTACAGGTTGATGATTATAAACAGTGCTGAGTATATATAAACGGTCAATAAATTCTTTCGCAGATGCAGCCTCAACCTCAACATTCATGAGTTCGATGTTCTTGTTGCAGGAAACTAACGAGTGAGCTATGCAGTGTCATCGAAGATTACGGTCTTGTTAATTTTACAACCTTGGATATTCAGGTCTGTTGTGTCTCCTTCTGCAGACTCTCTCTCTCTCTTTCTCTGTGTTACAAAACTAGTGAGTGAGCTTTTTGGTGTTTGTTTTCAGGATAAAGAAAGTGTTGGAGAACTAATAAAGCTCATTGACAAGAGCAATGGATACGTATTTTCTGGCATTGATGCAAGTGTGGTTGAATACAGCAAGATTGCAGTTGGTCAAACTGATTGGGAATATAACAGATATCCTTTTTAGATTTTTTTTTTTATAGTTTCTCTTAATTTGTCCGAGTTTAGGTTTATGTATACAGCAACAAAGAGTTGTTTTCTTTAACGACTATAGTCTTCACAGTTGCGGCTGTGCAAGAGAAGTATATGAAAGATGAGGAAACAGAAGACTGAGGAGGAATAGAGACAGCGTTTGAAACTTCCAAAGAAGAAGAATCAGTGATGAGACTGGTCTAAAATTTCTCTCAACCAAACCATGTACCGGTTTGCATGAACCATTTTTTAATTTTTGGTTTCGTTTAACGTCCAAACAGCATTGACTAACTGGTTTGGTTCACGGGATTATGCTAATTTTGAGACTTGTAGTAATTAATTATAAGTAAAGTAGTTACACTTCATGGAAAGTGACTGTAATTTGATGGGTAAACAATTTCTATTTTTAACTCTCGTATGGGGTGGAAAATGTTTTTTTTCAGAAACTTAAACGTAAACCAAAAACAATTCTAAAAGCAAGAAAAACATTTTCACTATCTTATTTGAACGATATGAGAAGATAATATTTTGTTATCTCTAATTGTGATCTCTAATCGCTTTCTTCAACTCGTTTTTGAAATGATACGTTATGCAATTTGTTTTTGTTTGTTTACGAGATTGGTTTTCAAAAAAATATGTCTAGCTTTTCAAATTAAATATATGAGGTATGAGCATATGACAATCCTCATCACAACAACTTCCAAAATCAAAATTTTATCTAGATTTAAAACGTGAACTAATAGCCATTTACATTAAACTAAAAGAAAGAATGTTTAGTGATGATGAGGTTGAAATTTAAATTAGTTTCCAAAGAACATTCTCGGTGTGATATTACGTACGTATGGATAACCGTTAATTGTAATCGTTTCCTTTTCAACAAATCACGTTTTTATCATTTTAATTTCTTTTTGAACTAAATTTTATCATTTTAATTTCTTAATTCTATAGTCTCAATCCAATGGTATGATGTACAAACCGAATAGTGTAAATGATTATGTTTTCGAATGGACCATCTATATATTAAAAGTCTACAGATATTACATCATCAGTCGCTTAAAAAAATATTTTGACATTTTATAAAGAATGGCCACTAAGACGACGATATAAACTGTCCTTGAAATGAGAAATAATCTTATACCTTCTTTTTTGGAACTTTAAAATTTAAATAATCCAATATCAATGCACTAAGCCACCAACATACATAGAGAATGACTTCTCAAAGTTGAAACTATGAGTCCGCAACTACTTCGTTTAAGATTCATAATTACATGCAAACACGAAAGAGAGGAAACAAGACATTTAAATTATTGATATTCATTTGGATTACAAAAAAAAAAAGAAAAAGAAAAAAGACAAAAACAACGCAACATGAAACTTAAAACTCCGGTATGTCGGAAAATACCTCAATTCTACGACTAGTAGTGAAAAGCTCAAACCAAAACTCCATGTCATCATTATACAACTTGGAATTATTATAACTATATATCGTACTGTTCCTATCTATCAATCCGTCCCAGTCTTCTATCTTTTTCTCATTACTATTCGAATTATCTACCGACACGACGTCCGACCAAAAACTCTCGTCAACCAATGCAGAAATATCCTCGTACGACATCATTTCGTCCTTGTTGTTATTTGAAATATCAAATGTTGTAACACTGTTAGAAAACTGTTGCGGAGAGGTCGCGTCGACAATCACAGATTCTTTATCTTCACGTGTGGTCTCGTTGATTCCGTTTATGTCTTTGGTGTCTCCGCCACTGTTTTGATTTTTGTTGAGTCTTTTCTTCAAATGAGTGTGCCAAACATTTTTTATTTCATTGTCGGTTCGTCCTGGCAATTTTGCAGCTATCGCAGACCATCTAAATTAATAACAAACAAACAAAATAAGGCACTATTAGAAAAAAAAAGTGTTATCACATTAAATATATAGTATGGATTTCATCACTTTATTACTTTAATATTGCTTTTGAGAGCAGAAAACATGGAGATAGAAGAAGACAACAAACTAAAAGCTTATATATGGAATATGTTTCTGCATTGATCAAGGGTGCATATCTTGTCTTATAATTATTAATGATGAAGATTATTTGGGGTTTTCCTATTATAATAAACTATGAAAACAGTTAATTAACCAAAAAAAATTTAGACTGAGGTGCAATCACGGGTTGGAATCTCCTCAGCCTCACGATGATCAACTTTTTTTTTGCAAATTGGGAAAGAAAAAAACCATTTCTTAATTTAGATTAGGTAAAGTCGACATATCAGTAATTTAAACAGAACAAAATTTGCAATGTGGAAAAAGGTAAAAGGAAGTTGACGTAAAAGAAAAAACAATATCGTCGACTCAAAAACATTTGATTTCTTATCGTTGAATATGATTGATAATTAATTTTCTTTATACAAAAAGAAAAAACACAGAAGACGAACCTGTTGCCCAAGACTTCATGTAGATTGATGATAGTTTGTTCTTCTTGAGGAGTGAAATTGCCACGTTTGATGTCTGGTCGCAGATAATTGATCCAACGAAGTCTGCAACTCTTCCCACATCTAAGTAAACCTAAACGAAATTCCAAAAAAACACCAAAAGAGTATATATACAGATCAAGAATTATTGATAGGAAATCAAAATGAACATTATACAGAAGAATGAAAATTACCTGCGTGTTTGGGAAGAGCTCGCCAATTAGAATGACCATAAAGATGAATATAATTAATCAAGATTTGATCTTCTTCAGGAGTCCATGGCCCTCTCTTCATCCCCATTTTCTCACAACATGGTGCTCTTCCCATTATTTTTGTTTTGTTCCGGTGCACTCTCAAGAAAATAAAACTAAAATTTAGAAGTTTTGCTCTTTAATTGAGTAAAATGATTAGACGGCCATGTGTTGGATGGGTATGGAGTTTTATGAGAGCTAAAGAAGCCAAATGTTTGAAGGAAGCATGCGATGTAGACGTTTAGTGTGTTATTATTATATAATTACAATGCAACCGTGGGACAACTTCAAGTTGAAATTTTCTCATGCTTTTAATTCACACAGTCCAAAGTTTTTTTTTTTAAAAGGAAACAAAAGTTGTCCTAAGTTTTTTTTAAAAGTATTTAAATTTAATCTATTGCGGTGAGGTCGATACATAGAAACTACAACAGGTTTTTATTATTATATATTTTTTAGCATCAGTTTTTACTATTGATGTAAAAAGTAATAAAAATAGTGAATTGTGTTTTCGTATCATCAATAAACAGAATTTTTTCAAAACGTCTCTAACATTTATAAAGTGAATAAGAAAATATTATATACTTTAAGTTAACTTATAATTAAAAAAAACAAATTTTATATATGTCGCTCTACTATATATTCCATATTTCATTGATATTGACATATTGTATATACTGTTCTACTATTTGCTGTGTTGCCAACGTAAACTTTAAGTTTCTTTTTTATGATTGTGCAAATGATATGTGTGTAGATGCATAGGGGGAGTACTAAGGGTGGACAAATTCTCCAAAACTCGATTTGATGTTCGTCCCGATCTATATATTCCAATATCTTAATTGCAGAAATACATGAATTCTGTAAGAACTAGTATTTCGATCAAATAAGAACTTGAGATTTACCATCCATTCATGTATAAATAAAGTATAGCTTAATAGATGGTTAACATTTTAACAAAAAAAAATAATAATCCAGATGGTTAAAATATGACATGTATAACGATAATATTTACTAAATTCAGGTATAAACTTTATATTTTACCAAACATACCTATAGTATTATATATATATTGTTTAATTACATTTATGTATGTTTTACTTGGTGGGTTATGACGAATAACTACTATCAGATTGGATACATCATTCTTCTGTTTTACTCGCGCTACGTTGCAGGATATATTTCTAGATTTTATATATATTTTTAATATAATAAAATTATTTTTATAATGTAAATAAGTATTTTTTTAATTTTTTTATTAGCTTAAATTATATATTTATATGTTTTAAATCTGAATAAACATTATATATTCTTAAATTTTTTTATTTTTCAAAATTATTATCTACTATCAAATTTGTTTGGCTAACTATCTATAAATATATATGTAAGAATAAAACAATACATTTTAAGTATATTTCTATTAATGGCAAATGTAATTTGTTATCTCAACTAAATTGCCACTTGATCCTCCTTTGAAATTATATAAAGTAAATTTCTATTTTTTTTTAAACTGAGAAATCGCACTTTCCGACAAAACAAAAAAAATTTCATTTCACATATTCCCGCCAAAACCAAAAACATTCATTTTCTTGTCAAAAATGAAATTTCATTTTCACACCAAAATAGAGAAATTGTATTTTCCCGCAAAAACCAAAAAATCACATTTTCCTGCAAAAACCTGTGTTTTCCCGTCAAAACAGAGAAATCAAGTTTTTTCATTAAGATCGAAAAATTCATTTTCCCATGAAAACTGAGAAGTCGTCAATTCCCGCAAAAAAAAAAAATTATCAAACCAAAAATCAGGCCTTTCTACCAAAACTGATAAACTACAATTTCCCGCAAAAACCAAAAATTACATTATCTCCTGAGAAATTGTGTTTTCAGCAAAAACTAAGAAATTACATTTTACCGCAAAAACCAAAAAATCACATTATATGTCAAAAACTGAAAATTTGCATTTCCCATTTCTTCTAAAATCGAAAATTTTTTTTTTCCCATCAAACTGAGAAATTGCATTTTCTTCCAAAATCGTCAAATTATAATTTCCCACGAAAACTAAGAAATCAAATTTTCCCGCAAAAATCAAGAAATCACATTATCCATCAAAAGCCAAAAATTTGCATTTCTTATCAAAACCAAAAAATCATATTTTTTGTTAATTGAAAAGTTGCATTTTCCTCGCATTTGTCTCGTCAAAACTAAGATATTTTGTTTTCGGGCCAAAATCAATCTTTTTTTGTTTTCTCACCAAAACCAAAAATTCACATTTTTTCGTCAAACCCGATAATTCATTTTTTCTGCCATAACTAAGAAATTATGTTTTTCTAGCAAAACTAAAAATCATATTTTCCTACCGAAACCAATGAATTTTCTATTTCCGCTATACCCATGAAAAATTGTTCTGAGTAACCACTGGAAATGTAAATCTCTAAGTCATGGTGGTATGAGTTTCTCCTCATTTGCTTTAGACTTCTATTTTTTTGTAAACTTTTGGGCTTTATAATGGATCTGCAAAATAGTAAACTGATTTTATTAGTGTGTTAATGATATGTATTATTGTTATGTTTTTATTGATTCAAATTTTTACTAATGTGTGAGCTTTTTATAACATAAGACTTTTTGCATTGTTGTTATGGATACATAGTTGATGATGAGCCTACACTTTTTCAATCATATACGTCTCTGTCGAACAAACAAATAGCTAAATTTTATTTATTTATTTTGCTGTTAATTATTATTTGGGTTTGAGTTTGGCAAAAAACAAAACAAAGTTTTAATTTTTTTTATTTGCTGTTATTTATTATTTGGGCTTTGATTTGTTGAAAAATAAAATAAATTATTAACAAAAAATATATTTGAGTTTTTAATGAGTTTAAATTTAAAAAATAAAATAAGTAGATGAGTTATATTAATATTTTAATTTGATTTGTTTGTAAAATAGCTGAGGTGTCAGCTTTTCAAAAATTAAAAAAAATTGATGTGTCAACTTATGAAGAGACTTGAGTGTTATTGTTGTATTGATGATGTTTTAGCTATTTGACATATATTTTGATATATTTTTACAATTGTTTATTTTTTATTTTTTTATTTTTTATTTTTTAACTTACTTTTTGATTTTCTACTTTGATATTAACATTAGCTTTCTCTTTTCAATTAGTATAAAGTTTTTTTAAAAATGAAATATATTATTTGAAATCTAAAACATAAAAAAAAAAACTAAAACATCATAGTTTAAAAAACAAAGAGAATATATGTTACACGTATTCTGTTCACACATGGAAAAAACTACTTCGTCTTCGAGTCGAGTGGGAACAAAATACTGTATAAAAAGCAAAAAAAAGGCTTTGTGAATTTTTGTGCGTAAAATGGCTATAGAGTAATACTAATAATTTAAGAGGGAGGGAAAGGTTCAAATTATATTATACATAAAAATGTCAAAGAAAGAGGCTCATAGTGCTCAAATACAATCAAATCATGGCCCAAAATATATCAAACTTTTAATCTCAAATCAAGCTTGTTGGATGACCTTACAAGTCAATAAGAAACATTAAAAGTTCAGTATTCTTTCTATGCGCATATCATACACTTTATCTTATTGTTAATGAAACTATACATTTTATGATGAATAATAAACTATAGGTGCATAGAGCCTAAACAATTGTGAGATGAAAGGAAAATCATAGACATCAAAGTAGGTAAGGTACGTATAAAGGTGTTCCTCTTTTCTTATGAGATTTGAGATCATGTAAACAAACAAACAAAATTTTGAAATGATTTAGTATGCTTTGGTGACTCCCCTTTTTGTTCCTTGTTTTTCTTTTTTATACACTTATTATGACTTGGTATCATATACATTTTGATCATATGAACCTTATATTTCGAAAAAAGTTTACTTCTGAAATTTAAATTCAAATCTATGAAACAAATGAATTCGTAAATAAAAGTTTAATTATCGTATCAGCATTTAATCCAAATCAACTGATTATAAATTAAGAGATTCATATTTATTATATAGTATACTAATCATGTTGATATGATGTGGGTATTCTTGTTTTTAGCTAAATATGATGTAAGATATTCTAAGTTCTAACACACTCGGGAGATGAAAACTCATCATACCAAATTTTATTCCTTTTTGTTATCGGTTAACCATTTGGAAACACTGAACCATATCTTTCTTATGGTATGTCATTAAGTAAAAAAGAATCATAACCATTCGATTCTAATGTATATATGTTGTTGGACGTTAATTGATAGTTTAGTGATATGGATCCAATAGTTGTATGGTTCTTGCCGGTTCTCTCACGAGTACCACTTTTGCTTTAACTATTTGTTTGTCTCTGTCAAAAAGCAACTTTGAATAGTGTTTCAAATTAAATGTATTTAGACCATAATTATAACATTTAGTAAAAAGGGACTAAAACAAAACAAAGATCATCGACATCATTACGAAGATCTTGCCCTTTTTCACAACTTTTTTTCTTTTTTTTTTGTTTTCTTCTTTCTAATACAATGCGGGTTATCTTCTCTTATATACAACAGTACTACTCCAATTATGAAGTTCCCATGTTTTTAATGCAAGTGTTATTTGATAATTTGATAAATTCAAATCAATGTACAAATGGATCGTGACCTAACGAAATCTAGATATTAGTGGGTCCAAACCAGTATATAATAAATACTAATTTTGTCGCTTCTTTTTGTTATTTTCCAGGGTCGGCTGAGTTACATTATTGAATATATATATATATATATATATATATATACATGCATGTAAAAAAAACAGAAGAAAGAAGCTTTTAAATCCACCCTATAATATTTAAAACCGTTAGTAATTATCTTTTCGAAAACTATTTTAAGACTCATAGTAGTAGGCTCATACACAGCTACAAGACTACAATTACATATTAGAAGCTAAATGTACCCCCAAAAAAACCATTGAAGAATCTAAATCTTCTATTAGTTAGATTTATTTACACCGTTAGAACGATTAAGCAATAGAATTAGATATGCCAAAATTTCATTTTTTTTTATTATGTCCAAATTTGAATAACTCAAAATCAATGGACCCTTATGTCCAGTGGCTTGGTTGGTTCAACCAGGTGGATCATGTTTTGGTAATTACGTTACGTTAATCTATTCAATTAACAGGCAATAAAAAGTGTGATACTTTGTCATATTTCACTTAAAAAATCCCAAACCAAAGACTTAAGACTAAAGAGTCTAGGTCGAAGGATAAAAAAGAGCCAGTACACATTATTTGACCATGGAAAATCAAACAAACCACAAAGAGAGATCAACTTTTTCACTTAAATAAATTATATTTTCATAAAAAGTATTAATCAGATTCCACTTTCACTGATTAAAAATGATAATATATGGTATGTAGAGTAGACCTACAATGGCAAAACAAAAGTACAAACGAGGACAAGAACCGTACCCTTCAAACTTTTCTCTACCATTTACTTTGGCTTCACCTAACACAATCTGACTCTAGTCTTCAAAGCACTAGGTTGTGGATTCATGATCTGGACAAAGACTTCTTATATATCTACTCGTCCTTGTTCACACTTGAAGATAAATTACCAAGCGAATCTCGTTCCTGTGCCATCGAGAAATCTATCCGTATACCATCCTTTAGCCTGCACTTGAGATAAAAATGGATTGAAGACATCGTTCATTTTGTCATATGCGTCTTGCAATATTATATCATCAGGGTCATTGTAACTCTTTCTCATTGACTTGGCATACGCTGCAACTAACCACCCTCGCAGTGCATCTTCACCAGTAGCATCGTGCTCTAAGACCATATCGGTCCATGATTTGCCTTGGCTCAACAGAAACTTCTCTTCTACAAACACTTCTTTTAGTTTCTGCACCTGAGAAGGCTTCACAGCTTTATGCAGAGCCCTTCCCACTTTCACGTTTCCTGCGTCTTGGACTGGTCTCTCGGGGAACAGTAGGTCTTCTTGGAATCTTAGATCAGGAGGGCTTGGGACTTTACCAGTCTGTAAAAGATTCAAAAAATAATACCTTTGATGTCATAAAAAGAATTCAACAATATGGTTCTAAAAGGACTGAACTAACAATGACGTTATTCACCTTGAGAAAATTAGACACGATCAAAGCGGTTCTCTGTGGATTCAGTGTGTTGATCGGTACCCCTCGCATCTGCTCTACGACACTATACAGATGTACAGCTGAAAGAATCGAACCAGCCACCAACTGCAGATAACACAGTCTTTTCTAAGATAACCGAGTTGCGATCCAAACAAATAGAAACAGCATTCTCAAACAGAGAGTAGCGGTCGAGCAAAAGGAAGTTACCTTTCCCTCCATTGATGAACATACTGTGGAAGCCAGTTGAATCCCGACCCCAATCCCGGCAACGTTAAAGAGAGTAGAGATAGCTTCTCCTTTGGCAAAAATGTCACTGAGATTTCCTTCTTTGGCGAAAGATGAATAAATTGGTAATCTTGTAGCCCTTGCTGCAACCACAGCCATTCCCTATTTGAATCAAACAACGCCAGAAGAATGTGAAACACAGAGATAATAATAGTAACAACCAACCAGTGAAGCTGATTGATATATGATAAGATGGTCTCTAGAAAGCTAATATATCTCATGGGTCTGCTGCTGAGCTATTCAGGAAGGTAGACACTGATGTTCTAAGTACAGTTTCACTTCAGCGAGGAATATACCTTAGCGAAATTCCCAAGACCAGCCATTTCAAGAAACAGATGTGGGCACAAAGGAGAAACGAGTTCTAGGCCAGTACCAAAATCGTAGAGCACGTCAGCTGTAAAAAAATGAATTACGTTTTATGGTTGAAACTGTGAAACATCAGCAGAGCTAAAGAATGGTACGTACCCAGAATCCTCCACAGTTTCGGCTCAGAGTCCATTCTTGCACCCAAATTGCTACAAATCAGCTTTCCCGCATGCTGCATCCCATCCTTCAAAATCTATTAAACCAATGGAGTTAACAAGAATGTCACTTACGGGAAGGCCCGGAACAAGTAAATGGAACTAACAAACTGAAGTGGAAGCATACCCAGCTAACAACGGTTGCTTGAGCCGGTGTAGGCCGTAAGCCTGCAGCAAATAGCAGTGACTGCAGAGGAGTAAGACAAAAAAAAAAACTATATATCCATAAAAAACCTTCATTGCAGCAGCTCACGTAACAAGACAATCAAGCTGAAGAAACGAAATGGAAAAAATGAACTAGACTTAGAAACTACATTGCAAGAGACATGAAGAAGACCTGAGTCGATAACACGGACAATGCTGCACTAGAGAGATGCTGAAGTGCTCGAAACTGTGTGTACCTAAGATATCCTTCGTTGACACTGTAGAAGAAGAAGAAGAAAAAGAAAGCTTCAATTTTTCAAAGCACTTAAGCTACAGAACAAAAGTCTTTATCTTTCTCGTCTCTTCTATTGATTTAACCTACTAAGGATCGTCTGAAAACAAGAGTCTCAATTTTGAATCACCTGTATGGATATCCAAAAGGGAAGAACTTATTAAGGAAAGATTCAACCATCTTCTGAGGAACAGGCCTTGCGTCGTCAACAACTTTCATCTAAAAAAACACAACAACACATGATAATTGCCATACGATTCTCCAAACTGAGAGCAACATCAATCATAAAATGGCACAGGAAAAACAACAACAATGTTGAATTGAAAATGGAAAATTGGCGACGCAACTATAGCAGAGAGAGATTTACAGAGAGGTGGCCGTCGGATTCGAACTGAAAACGGCGAGAGACGGAATCTGAGGTCTCGAACCAGTAAACGGGAAAGTCATCAGGATTCTTCACCATTACTGGCTCTTCCTTCTTAATCATCTTCACCTTCTCCTGTTTCGTTGACCCAGTTGCCATATCATTCAATTACATGCACAAATGTAAATGAAATGAAAAAAACAAACATTCTACCAGAAAATTCATCTCTGACAGACGACGGCACAAGGAGGTTGGAGTCGCCGGAGTTTGGAGTTGGAGTGAACGGCCGCGACTGTGTAATTGCGTAGAGCCTTTCAAAACACAGTTAAAGAGATGATCCACTAAACGACGCCGTTTTCAAGTTCCCTTCTATTTCTCACCAAATGGACCAAATGAAAATTATGAGGCCCAAAGGATAAGGCCTAAAATTGATAGATACGCGGCGAGTGGTTATGGGTTAAAACTGGGGCCCACATTTAAGAATAAAAAAAAAGGGAAGAAGCAAAAGGAAGATCGACTTTTCTTTCTCCATCCGTCAAAAAAATGAAATGGGGTCAAATCTTCGCGTTGCTCTAACGCCACCGTCCACTTCATCTCTTTTCTTCCATAATACCCCAAACATAATTTCAAAACTAATTAGTAAACCAAAGTCTGCACGAAGAGCGAAGCGACGCATCCGATTTCCTTTTATATAGTTTTTCTTTTATTCGTCTCTCTCTCTCACACCTCTAAATCTCTCAAAAACCCAATTTTGGTCTGAAGAAAGCCGAATCAAATTCATGTCTTTCAGAGGACTTAGCAAGGTAATAACAAATATCAAAACCTTCTCTCTTCTATCTCTGCACTATACCCATGATTTTTCCTGTATAAATTCTTTGAAAATTTTATTCAAACTTGGATAGATTCTAGCCGCATGCACACTAAGGGTCTTCAATTTTGTTTGTAAGAAATGATAAAAAAACCTAAAGTTTACATTTTTATGTACTCTGAAGCAGGATGCGTATAAGACTGTTGATTGTTCGATTATGATTCAGTTGATTTTGATGGAGTCCATCTCGTTGTTAACTCCTTGGGGTTTTTAGACTATTATTACACATAAAAATCGAACCTTTGTTTTGTTTTATCATCTATCTGCAGCCAAATGCAACATCCGGGATGGGTGTTGCAGATCAGAGCAGAACCACGTTCCATGAGCTTCAGAGGAAGAAAACTCACCGCTACGTCGTCTTCAAGATCGATGAGGCCAAGAAAGAAGTGGTGGTTGAGAAAACCGGAAACCCTGCAGAGAGCTACGACGATTTCTTAGCTTCTCTCCCCGACAATGATTGCAGATACGCTGTTTATGACTTTGACTTCGTCACTTCTGAGAATTGCCAAAAGAGCAAAATCTTCTTCGTTGCTTGGTTCGTTTTTTTTTTTCTTGTTTAGTTTCATTGCCTCTGATTTGATCTTTCCTATGAGCAAAAGTCTTGAGATTTTTGATGAGTTTTTGAAATTGGGAATATTTGTAGGTCTCCTTCGACTTCACGAATCAGGGCAAAGATGCTTTACGCGACTTCTAAAGACAGGTTTAGGAGGGAGCTTCAAGGGATTCACTATGAGATTCAAGCTACTGATCCTACGGAGGTTGAACTTGAAGTATTACGCGAACGTGCAAACTGAGGAAGAAAATATTAGTTCTCTACTTGGGAACTTATTGGTAATGTAATGAATAATCTCGTTCGATAACATTGGTTTTTTCATATTCTCGTGGTTGGATTTGTGTATTCACAGTTTCATGTTCTATGAACAAACTGTATAAACTCAAGTAGATGTCTCAAGATAGCACATCTTTAACCTCGAGGTAAGTTAGAACTGCAAACTCAATTTGAGGTTGATGCAGTGTTGTTATTATAACCGGACCTGTAAAACCCAAAAGCTAGTAGACCGGATGAAAACCGTTAAATCCACCAAAACCTCATGAATGGGATTAGCCAAACGGACCAGTTTCTTAACATAACAAAAACTCTTACGATCCAGCCGGTTTAAATTGAACGGGTGGAATCCGATATAATTTTTCCGGTTAGGCGTTCAGTTCAATTTTGGTACTCGATGAGTTGCAAAGTCTTTAGGAAATGGAAATGACGTAGTTGCCCTTCATAGTCTAAGAAGAAAAAAAATATACAACGAAAAAAGAGATACCGAGTGGGGTCCATTGCCGTTGTGGCCAAAAGCGAGATTGCATGACCCAACTGATCTCTAATAATTTATTCATTCATATTTTAATTATTCTTTGTTTATTTTGCATTTCTCTTGTTAACAGCAAATGCTATTCTTATTAAAATGTACATTACCAACTTCAATATTATAATGCAATCCATCATTTGTTTGACATTAGGGAACATCATGTATCAGTCTCACAAATTCCTTAACCAGACTTTTTTTAAAATCCATCTTGCTATCATTTAAACTTTTTGAAACAAACAGCCTGAAATTACATTACAAAAAAAAACAACATAATGTAATCTAGGAGTAATTTGTACTACTGTCACTGTAGTTTAATAAAAAAAAAAAAGGTTTTGTTTCTCCAATCTGACGATGTTTTGGTTATCTTAGTAACTTTTGTACGTAATAAAAAGGTTGGAGCGTTATTTGTGGTTGAAAAATATTTGTTTTGCTCATTTAATAATTTTCCTTTATATTAAAGGGAAAAAAAATGAGCTGAAAAAATGTTTCCTCTGTCTTAAGTATATAGTCGAGAAGCTGTCTAAAACAATACCAACACGTCCAAAAAACCCTCTCTTCTGGGAACAAGAAAGATCCCAAAAGACACAAACACACTCTAACCCCATCAAACAGAAATAAAGCAAACCAAAAAAAAGCTTTTTCTTTTAGTTCCAATTGTTGAAAATAAGCAGAAACTTGTGTAATAGTTGGTTGATATCTTAGGGTTTACAAGGACAACGAAGAAGGAGAAGATCATCTTCGGCTAACTCTGGTAATGACAACACCTCATTTTCTGATACATTTCGAATGTGTATATGTTAAGTCTGAGATTGAGTCAAGAAAAAAAAAACAGAAAAACAAGCAGATATAACTTTACTTTTACAATCAGAACCAAAGATCAGCAGAAGTAAAAACCTAAAAGAAGTGAACAGAAACTGAAGGGAATTAGTTTGAGATTAGGTTTGTAGGTTATGCAAATTCATTTCTTTTTTAGATCGTATTTAATGATAATTTGATGAATTCATTGGCTTTGTCTTGAGAATTATGGTAGTGAAAGTTGTTAACTTTTTGAAGTTTTTTGTTTGTTTGTTTGTTGCAGAAGAATCGGTTGAGAATGTACGAGGAAAGTTCATGTTTTGATCCTAATCCAACGGTGGAAGCAATCGTCGACGATTTCTGCGAGTCTCCGGCGGTGGATACAGCTTTTCCGGTAAGCCACCAGTACCAACCACCGATCTTGGTCGCCGGAAGCACAACAAACAGCTTCAACGACGAGCTTAAGCTCCCAACAATGGATGAGTTCTCTGTTTTCCCTTCTGTCATCTCTTTCCCAAACTCAGAAACTCAGAACCAAATCAGCAACAACAACAACAACCATTTGATCCAGCAGATGATTCACGACTCAAACTGGGCTGTTTCTACAGACAACTCTGGATTCTTCATGAACACTTCAGATCCAAACACAACAACAACTCCAATCCCTGATCTTCTCAGCCTCTTGCATCTACCTAGATGCTCTGTTTCACTACCAAGCTCGAACCTTTCTGATATAATGTCCGGTTCTTGCTTCACATACGACCCACTCTTCCACTTAAACCTTCCTCCACAACCTCCATTGATCCCTCCTAATGACTACTCAGGGTTCTTGCTTGGAATCGATCATACCAATTCTACTCAAAGAGATCAGACAAATGTTGGTGATGAGAACAACAATGGTCAATTCGACAGCGGAATCATCGAGTTTAGCAAAGAGATTAGGCGTAAAGGAAGAGGGAAGCAAAAGAACAAACCTTTTACAACAGAGCGTGAGCGAAGATGTCACTTGAACGAGCGTTACGAGGCCTTGAAACTGCTCATTCCAAGCCCGAGTAAGGTCGGTTTTAAGAACAAAATATAATCTTTCATTTCATTTTATCTACAATGTCTCTTTGCTTAATTCGTTTATAATCTGTTCTTAGGGAGACAGAGCATCCATTCTTCAAGATGGAATCGATTACATCAACGAGTTACGAAGAAGAGTAAGCGAGCTTAAGTATTTGGTTGAGAGGAAAAGATGTGGTGGGAGACACAAGAACAACGAAGTAGACAACAATAATAACAACAACAACAACAACTCTGATGATCGTAATAATGACGATGATGATGATGAAAACATGGAGAAGAAGCCCGAAAGCGATGTGATAGACCAATGTTCAAGCAACAACTCACTGAGATGTTCATGGCTGCAGAGGAAATCAAAAGTAACCGAAGTTGATGTTAGGATTGTTGATGATGAAGTAACAATCAAAGTTGTTCAGAAGAAGAAGATCAATTGTTTGTTGGTTGTCTCCAAAGTGCTTGATCAGCTTCATCTCGATCTTCACCATGTCGCTGGAGGACAGATTGGTGAGCACTACAGTTTCTTGCTCAACACTAAGGTTAGTGATCAATGAATACATACTAATCTTGAATTTGAATATATGTTATTAGAATGAGTTTTGGTAATAACGATTGAGTAAAATGCAGCTAAATGAAGGATCAACGATATATGCAAGTGCAATAGCAAACAGAGTGATTGAAGTTGTGGACAAACACTACATGGCTGCTCTTCCCATCAATAACTATGAATTATTAGGCTAGCTTTGTCTATTTTTTGACGTTTTTAATACATGTTTACTCATCTGCAAGACTAAATTAATAAAATCTAATTTTGGAGCCAAATTTAGGTTACACAATTTGGATATTTTTATTTTCTGTTAAAAGTTATAAAAGATAAAACAACACATGTTAACCACTCTCCTAGAGGACCTAAACAATTTGTTTTACAGGAAAAATGAATGATTCATAGAAATTAAGTATTGATAGTGAAGCATATAATCATGCATGCTCTGATCATATATATTGTACTCGACAAACCATATAGCGGTTAGCCGGAAAAATATGACATGATTGGATTAATTTAATTTAAACCTAATCTATTCCCTTGCTGAAAAGTTTGGTCATATATGGACCGAACCAGCATTAAATGTTTTTGACCGATAAAAAAAAACTAATAAGACTAAACCTGATAGGGGTGGGCAAAATATCCGTTATATCCGTTTCGAATCGATATTTGCTTCGATCCGATTCAAAAAATCCGGATATCCGTAAAGCTTCGGAGCAAAGCAAATAGCAAAATGTAATATCCGTACAAAACAGAGCAAATCACAAATACGTTTTTAGATAACGCCGGATATCCGATCCGATCCGTATCTTTATAAATTTATTATATATTATCATGTATATATCAATTATATTATAAATTTTTATTAATATATTCTCAATTTTCTTTCTAAATTTTCAATTTTTCTTTTGATTATATAAAATAAATGACTAAATAACCAATTATAAAAAATAAATAATATGTTTAAACTTAAAATATGTTAATAAATAACGTTTTATTTTATATTAGTAAATAAATATCAACAAAAGTTTTTTAGTAAAGTTTAATATTAAAGTTTCAAATAGTTAATATTATTTTTAAATATAAAATATCATTTTTTGCTCATCTTAATTTTATAGGTTTATTTTTTATAGATTTTTTTATAAAATAAAATATTTTCTTTTAGTTATTTTTACTTAATAATTTAGATGAAAAATATTTTTTTATAATAAAAATTGATGTACTTTCAGTTTTGTGTATATTAAATGGATCAAACTAAATATTCATAAATATCCGTAAATATCCGTAAATATCCGCAAATACTTGTAAATTTTCCGGATATCCGAAAATTCGGATATCCGTATATTTCCGGAGCAAATCAAATCATAAAATTAAATATCCGTTTAAAACGGAGCAAACCACAAATACTAAAAAATTCTCGGATATCCGATCCGCGCCCACCCCTAAAACCTGGTCGTTTGGCAAAAACTTTTGGTCTGGCACAACATTTTAACATTTGTATTTTTAAATAGAAGGGGCTTTTCTAGCTTATAAAATTAATAAAAACATCCCTTAGGTTTAAAGTAATTAAAGTTTGTATGTAGGACCTAAGACCAAGAGTTACGAGGGCAGTACTTAACCAGACCAGTGTACGAGAGAGTTAGGTGACTCAAATTTCTGAGTTTCTGTTATGCTACGAGATGATCACATATGTAAACAGAAAAATATTTTCACATTCTTGGAAGTGGGACCTACTTTCTTCATCATCGTCTTCTCAAACAACTTCGCTCTCTTTGGTATAAACAGATATTGCATGACCTAACCGCAACAGGAAACTTATACCATTTTTGCCAATATTATATTAATCGATCCAAAATTTATTTGATTTTCTATGAGACAGTTACTCGTCCGATTTTTCTTATAGATGAATAAAACTAAATGTGAAAAAGTTATATCATGATAACTGATGATATGATGAGGTAGATTATTTATCAATTTATTAAAAATGAATACTCGTATGTGCAATAAATATCCATTTAAATCATGTATCTTCGGTACCTCTGTTATTTTTGTAACCACTCCAAGAGTTTTTCAATTCTAACATAGGGTGTAAAATATTTTTGCAAACAAATCGATAAAACACAATATCAAATATACCTAAAGTGTGATTAACAATTATACATGTTAGATATGGTTAATATTTCATCTATGAAACTGGAATAGAAAACACAGCGCTATTTGTTGGAAAAAAATGAATATATATATTTTAATCCAATAATTAAACTTTGTAAATTTTTTAACCCTTTCTCTATTGTTTGTCTCCATCTTCAAAGTTCAAATGTCCTTATATATGAATCACAGAAAGACTTGTTTGTGAAATTTTATTTTCCGCCAGAAGAACTCATCGTTTTGACTTATAAGGTTGAAAATTTCCAGCTTCGATTGCTCTTTATCTTCTATCTCGTTTTTTTTTTTAATGTCAAACTGATCCAACCCTACACCTATAACCCATTTGTGAAACTTTACTCTTGGAGCAATCATTCCTCAAAGGAATCTAAGCCGGGTTTTGTTTCCAAGATGATTAAAGAACGAATTTAATTGTTTTGAAATTAGGTTCGAATATCAGGGTTAATACATTTAATCTTCTCGAGATGGTTGAGTGTTACTTTTTATTCGCAGGTGTTAACGAATTCGTCAATAGTCGTCGTTGATTAAACCATCATCATGGAAGGTTACTTGAATGAGAGGTACGAGGCCTTGAAAATGCTCATTCCTATCCCGACTAAGGTTAGATATATACTCCTATATATTATCGGTTTTATTACAAAATCAGATCAACTCATTCATTATCTCCAATGTTTCTTGATTAATTCATATAATCTGTTATTAGGGAAATAGAGCATCCATCGTTCAAGATGGGATCGATTACATCAACGACTTACGCACATTTGTAAGCGAGCTTAAGGTATTGGTTGAGAAAAAAAAATGTGGTGGTAGACACAAGAACATTAATGAAGTAGGCAGTAGAAACCCATCATATGATATTAGTGAGATCGATCATCGATTCTTCAAGATGAGACTTTATAATGACGATGAAACTATGGAGAAGAAGCCCGAGAGGGATGAAACAAGCAACAACTCGCTCAGGAAATCAAAAGTAACAGAAGTTCACGTTAGGATTGTTGATGATGAAGTGACAATCAAAGTTATGCAGAAGAAGAAGTTTAATTGTTTGTTATTTATCTCCAAAGTTCTTGATGAGCTTCATCTCGATCTTCACCATGTGGCTGGAGGACAGATTGGTGAGCATTACAGTTTCTTGCTCAACACTAAGGTTAGCAATCAGTGAATATATACCAAGCTTTATTTAACTATATATATTTATAGATATGATTTTTGGTAATAACGATTGCATAAAATGCAGCTAAGTGAAGGATCAACAACGTGTGCAAGTGCAATAGCAAACAGAGTGAGTGAAGTTGTGGATAAGCACTGCATGGATGCTCTTCCCATCAAGAACTAATTATAAGCCTAGCTTCATATATGTTCTGTTGTTATTCCATGTTTACTCATTTGCAAGACTAAATAAAACTTATCCTTGGCGCCAAATTAAGATGTTAATATAGTCTCTGATCCGGTTGAAAGATATGTGAGAATCATCGATGTGTCGTTTAAGCATGTGATGTCCATATATATAAAGAAAAAAAAAAATATGATGTGGTAGACAGTATATATATTTGGGATATTTTCTGTTAAAACAAGCATTAATATGTAAATGCCATATTCTCCTAACACATTCTTGTTTGGGATAGTGTAAGTTTGTAACGGTGTGGTCGGGTTTGGGCAGAACCAGTTATGGTTCAAATTAGATTTCACTTCTCAAGAGATTAAATTAAGTACGGTTCAGCCTTATTGTACTCGACAAAACACAAACCATTTAGCGGTTAACCGCAAAACATTATCAGCCTTTGTTGTAATCTTTCGTATCTCCCTTCCCCAAAATGTTGGTCCTGTATGGACCGAACCGACATTAGAATTTTAAAAATCCGGCCTGGTCTTAGCAAAACTAAACCAGTCAAGGAATTTTCAGTTTCTGTCAAATTACGAGATTACCCCTAGTAGTCTCTTTACAAAAAATCAAATAAATATGGAAAGATATTATCACCTACTTGGATGTGGGACCTACCTCTTCATCTTCTCAAACAACCATTCTCTCTTTGCTATAAACAGGTATCGCATGACCTAACTGCAAGAAGAAACTTATGATTTTTTTGTCAATATAATATTAATCGACCAAAGTTATTTTGTTCAAAATAATTACTTAGCCTCGGAGAAACAACTTTATCGTCATAAAATTCATATCATAGACCAATAAAATATCATGAAAATTAACTAACTAAGGTTTGAGTACTCTCATTACAATTTCAAGCATGAACAACTACTGTAAATGTACAATTTTTTTCCAGTCGGCCATATAAATTATTATTTTAAACTTGAATTTAGGATCCCCTAGTAATAACTAAGTAACATATGGTATAAAAAATGATTACAAAAATATTCTATTCAACATAAACAAAATATACAAGGAAACTCTTACAAATTACAACATGCATCACAGACCCAAAAAAAAAAAAACATGATGCCCGTTGATACATTATTCATTTACAATTTGTTTTGGAAATTTTATCCAAGTTCCTATACTAAACCTCAAAAAAAAAAACAAAGTTTATATACTACAAGACAGAAAAGGGTAGAAAGGGAAAGAGCAAACTGGGCTAAGAGGTTAGTTGGTGAAGTCCGCCATAGGTGAGGCAAAAATGTAGGGTCCACATTGCTCAGAGAGGATCAATCGCTGACAATGACGAGAGTACCCCTTTAGTCGTTGCAAAGACTGAGAGATTCAACACATGGGACCCATCTGTCGATCCTTGTAACCAACCTTCATGTTTGGCCAAAATGAGAAATCACATGCTCCAACCAAAACTCCCCAAAAAAACAATATTTACATTGTTATATAAAATTATGCGGAACTTTTTATAACGGTATAAAATATGCAATGCTGTATTTAATTTTTACAAATCGCATTAACAATTATGCAATTTGAGAGATATTTATTAACTTACCCATCAAATTTTGGGTTGGAAATCATATGAAAAAAAAATCCTTTAACAAAAAAAAAAAAATCATATGAAAAAAGAATCTTTGTTTTAATCCAACAATTTTTAAAAATATATATATCTTTTTTACCCTTCTTTCCTACTGTTTGTGACTTGTCAGCGTCTGCAAATGTCCGTATATTTGAAACACAGAGTGGGAGAGAAACTTGTTCATGAATTTTTCTTCTTCTCCTGAAATCGAGAAGATATCCAAAAGAACTAATCGTTTCGCAAGGTTGAATATTTTCCAGCTCCGGTTACTCTTTTTTATCTTCTCTCTCGTTCTGTTTCTCGTTCCATTAATCCTCTGTTTACTGTCAAACCCAAACCCTAAAACCCACTTCTTAATCTCTTCGATTCGAAAAGCTTTTTCCAAAGACCAAACTTCCCTCCTTTAAGAGAATCCATCTAAAAACTGGGTTTTGTTTCAATGATTATAAAAGAGCAAACTTGTTTAAAGTTAGGTTCGAATTTCTGGGTTTCCCCAAATTTTAATCCTTTGCTAATATAATGGTTGAATGTTACTATTGATTTGCAGGTTTGAAGAATCATCTGAGTCGTTAAAATCAATCTTCATGGAAGGTCTCATATTTTTCCATTTTACTTGGTCCAATTTTTATTTTTCTTCTCTCAAGAGCTTTTAGCTAAATTCTGTTTTTGTTACAAACGCAGAAGGAAAAGGAAACATTTACGATGAGATGGGATGTTTCGATCCCAATACTCCGACAGAAATGACGGTGGAGAGCGGCTTCTCTCACGCCGGACCACCACCACCACCACCACCACAACCACCGCAAATCCTAATCGCCGGAAGCAGAAGCAACAGCAACTGCAGTGTCGAAGTGGAAGACCTCTCTGAGTTCCATCTCAGCCCACAAGACTGTCCTCAAGCTTCTTCAACACCTCTCCAGTTTCACATCAATCATCTTCCTCCTCCTGATCACCAACAGTTCCAAAACAACATCAATTTGATTCACCAGATGGCTCATGATCAACAACAACAACAACAACACTCTAATTGGGATAACAATGGTTATCAAGATTTCGTCAATTTGGGTCCAAACTCTGCAACAACTCCTGATTTGCTTAGTCTCTTGCACTTGCCTAGATGCTCGCTGCCTCCTCCTCACTCTATGCTCCCTAACTCATCAATCTCGTTCCCTGACATTATGTCTTCTTCCTCTGCTGCTGCTGTCATGTACGATCCTCTCTTCCATCTGAATTTCCCTCTGCAGCCTCGAGACCAGAGCCAGCAAAGAAACGGTTCTTGTCTACTTGGAGTTGAAGATCAGATTCACATGGATGCTAGTGGAGGTGGGATCAATATGATGTATTACGATGGAGGAAACATCATCAACAATAACAGCAACAATAACAACAACAATCATGGCGAATTTGACAATGGGATTTTTGAGTTTCACAGTGGAGGTAACCGTAAAGGAAGAGGATCAGCAAAGTCGAGAACTTTCCCTACAGAACGTGAAAGAAGAGTTCACTTCACTGACCGCTTCATCGACCTCAAGAACCTCATCCCAAATCCCACAAAGGTTTTACATTTTTTGCTTAGTTTGCTTCAATTTATATTGTTCATGTGTATGATGACGACACTGTGAGTGACAGTATTGGCGCCTTTTTTTCTTGGTTTAATAGAATGATAGAGCATCGATCGTTGGAGAGGCGATAGATTACATCAAAGAGCTGTTGAGGACAATAGAGGAGTTTAAGATGCTTGTGGAGAAGAAGAAATTCGGGAAATTCAGGAGCAAGAAGAAAGCTAGAGCTGGTGGTGGAGGAGAAGAAGGTCATCAAGAGCAAGAAGAAGACACTGTGAATTACAGGCCACAGAGCGAAGTAGACCAATCTTGCTTCAACAAGAACAGCAACAACAACTCACTGAGATGTTCTTGGCTGAAGAGGAAATCCAAGGTCACGGAGGTCGACGTACGCATAATCGATGACGAAGTAACCATCAAGCTTGTCCAGAAGAAGAAGATCAACTGTTTGTTGTTCACAACCAGAGTTCTTGATCAGCTTCAGCTTGATCTTCACCATGTTGCAGGAGGACAAATTGGTGAGCATTACAGCTTCTTGTTCAACACTAAGGTAAATGAAAAATCTCAGTTCCTCGATCATGTTTTAGCTTCTAAACCAGTTTAAACTAATTCTTTTTTTTTTGTTTCAGATTTGTGAAGGATCTTGTGTGTATGCAAGTGGAATTGCAGACACAGTGATGGAGGTTGTGGAGAAACAGTACATGGAAGCGGTTCCCACCAACGGCTACTGAGAGTGATAGTGAGGTTAAATTGCTTTTTTAATTTACTTTGTTTTACTTCCCTAATGACTGATTAGTTATTAATCACTTTGGTGATTTTCAAGTTATTTTAGCTAGAGTTAGAGCTAGAGCTGAGGCTTTTCGTCTGGATTTTGTCTAACTCTATATGATTTTCTAGCTTTATGGATTTCGTTTTTTCTTTTTACCAATTTGATCTGTTTGTGTTTTCAATCCGGGAGAATTGCAAAACTGAAACGCAAATGAAACTGAAATTTGTTTAAAACCGAAGCTTTCAAACCGCAATTTAAACCAAAAACCTTATTAAAGCCGCAAATGAAACCGGATTGATCCGAGTTGATCCACACACAAAAAGAAGTGTTAAATTATCTCTTGGGCTTGTGACCTTTTGTATCATGCAAATTGCAACTCTTTAAACCCAGGCCAGATCGTCGCGTAAACGGAGATTTTTGGATTGCGGTTCAACTTTATCGAACCGGGTCAAACCGGATTCACTATTGGATAATAGAGTATGATTTTGTTTTTGTTTTCAGCTCTCTTGTCCTTTTCTTGTTGTCTAGCACTCTTTTAGGCTATTCCTTCTTTCATACAGATTCACATGTAATTTTTTAAAGTATATTAATTGTACTATTCGACTATATTTTATATATATATATATATATGGCGTGCAAATGCACATATTCTAGTTATTAATTTTTGATAAACACTAAATTAAAAAAAAAAAAAACAAAACGATTATAAATATTGTTTCTCGTTTTACATAAATAAAATTAAACCAAGTAAATCCAAATTTTCATTTACATTCAACTGAATGTAGTTTTTCCAAGTGTTACTTTTCTTAATTAAGATTAAATTATCTATGAAAAGAGCAAACAATCCCACTAATTTGTGCTCTCTCCATTTCTTAGGTTAAGATGTTTTAGAAAGAAAAAAACAAGTTTTCATTAATCCCTATTAGTTAGAGGTAAAAAATAATTACTGCTATAGATATATCATGCAGGTGTTACAAAAAAAAAATCAATATGTGTAACAAATGTTGAATATCTTATTTTATGAAACAAACGAAATATATATTATCGTCTCACCGGATATCTAATACAATAAATGAAATAAAAATTAATTTATTTTGAACTGGTTTGGTTTAATATTTAGTTGTTGTTTAGTTTGGTTTTTGTTTTCGAAAATAAATAAAAACTTAAAGAAATCTCAATTTTCAGTTTGGATTTTGGTTGTTTAGCATGAAGCTTTGAAGCTGAAGGCAAAGTTCTATTGACTGCTTTAACCAATGCTAAGAGACTCGGTTTTGATAATATTTATTTTGAAGGGGATTGCCAATCTTTAATCAACTTAATACACAGTAAAGATTAAGATATCACTGTTCTCAATCTTCTCCATGATATTCGGTTTACAAGAATTAGTATTTAGCATGTTAAACGCAAGTGCAATAATGTTGTTCATCTTTTAGCTAAACATGCCCCTCTTTATTTTGTAAATTACTCCAATAACTCTTCTACACCAGTTTGGCTAACAAATGTTTTGTACTTGGATCTTATAAATTCTTAATAAATAAATCATTTCAGAAAAAAAAAAATATATATATATATATTTACAAAGTAAATTTAATGATTTATATCGGTATTAACTGTTTGGTCCGTTTTACTAAATTTAGATATGTTTTATTTCGTTTTTTGAACTTTCACTTGAGCTTGATTCACACGATCTTTAGTTCAAAAAACTTTAGTTCGAAGAGATTTTGTTTAAATTAGATTAATTGGTTCATTTCAGTTTAATATTTCCAATTTTTTATTTATTTTTATTTAGTTTTCATCTTTTAAAATAATAAGAGCTGAATCTTAAAAGGAAATTAAATTTCTAATTAATTGGTTTCATTTTCATTTTAGATATGGTTTCATGCGAATATAACCTCCCGAGAAACACAAAGTTAAATATAACCAAATTAATTTGTTTGGTGATACAATCTGCTTCTTTGACAAAAAAAAAAAAGGTGATACAATCTGCTTTACCGAGTGTCACATCCATTTTCGAAATTATACTGCACGATCAGTACTTTTTTTTTTTGGACAACCACGATCAGTACTTAGATGTATATACAGTTCACATGAGTTTTTGAAACTTAATATTCGTGTACTCTTGTTTCTTTGCACTCATACTTATAACGCGGCGACGACAGTATTACGTACAATCATGATCTAATTACAAATTAAAGTCGTTTGTAAATCAATTCATGACATCCAACAAAGTTTTAACCCTTATTTTGATTTTAAACGTCCCAAGTGAATCTTTAGCTTTATTGGGCTAAGAATTTTTCAACAAAAAAAGTTAGCAAATAAAGTCAAACAACCAATCAATAATGAGATTAACAATAATGATAACGAAAGCATCATCAACAACGTTTTAACACAATATAATATGAACGTCATAATGTAATTTAGAACATATATAATATGATATAACATTTACACAATATAATAGGATATCTTAATAGATCTCATCGATTTACCCTACATATAAAAAACTTTATAGTTATCTTATCAACTTCTTTTGGGTTGGATTTTGTTATTCTAATTAACTTTATAGTCTTTATAGCTTGGATCGACTTGGTAGATTTTAAGAGTAATCAATGAAAAAAAAGGAATAACTTTATAGTGGTAAGACCTTTATAGCTTGGATCGACTTGATTTTTTTTTTTTTTTGTTCAATGGATCGACTTGATAGATTTTAAGATTCACAGCCTTAGACTCATAGGAATGATTAATATGAGATATATACTTTTATTCTCTAATTAATACTATCTTTTACCCATATAACTAAAAAAAAATATTAAAGTATATAAGAAAATATTAAAGCAATTAAGGTGGACACACATACTTTCCAGCGATATACGCAATAATAGAGGTTTTTTATACACTTCAACATCACCATCGCATCTCATCCAATAATTTCATTTGGATACAACAAAGAAAAGTAAGAACCAAAGAAATTGCAGAATGAACGAACAAATTTCAAATCTATCACAAAATTAAAGTATCATAATAGCTATATCTGAACAATTACAAGATCAACATGAACTCATAAGAAGTTGTTCTAAATATTCAGCACCTAAATCTTCAAAAACCACAAGTGTACCACTTTCTTGCTTTACAACACTCTGCTTATTACTTCTTGATGTTGAAGAAGAAGACGCAGAAGATGAGGAAGAAGATGAATAAGAAGAAGAATTAGAAGAACAAGAAGAAGAATTAGAGGATCGCTTCTTCCCTCTAGGCCGGTTTCGAAGGGAATGTTTTCTCTTCAAGGCCATAACCGGAGATCCTCCATCCTGAAGATTAACATTCTCCATTTTCTTGAGCGACTCTCTGACCACTTCCACGGGGAAGTTGAGTACAGCGAGAGATCCTTTTGTTGCGAAAGCCGCTTGATCGTAAGCAAGAGCGGCTTCCTCGGCTTTGTCAAACGTCCCGAGCCAAACCCTAATTCCGTTCCTAGTCGAATCTCTTATCTCTGCTGCGAATTTTCCCCATGGCCTTTTCCTCACTCCTCTGTATGACTTGTCTTCATCAATAGTACCAACCTTTTCTTCCTCTTCGGAGTAAGAAACGCCGCCGTTTTGAGTTTCTTCTTTAATCACCATCTCCGATGACTCAAATGAGAAAAAATCATCGGAGTAATTATGATTAGGGCTAAAAAAGGATTGGTGATCAGAAGATTGATCTAAGAAAGAACTCTCGTTCCATAAATATGATTCTTGTGATGAGCTCCAAGAACTCGGAGAAGAATAAATGGTAGATTGAGAATATTCCATGTATATATTTTTTTTTCTTCTAAAACAAAATTTCTCCCTTTTTTGTTATCTTTTTTTGCTGTGCCAATAACTTATTTCAAAACCTAATCCTATATATATAAGGGACAAGGAATTTATTAGATATTTGAAAGTGGGATATATTATATTGATTATATTGTTGTCATAGGTCCTAATCCTATAGACAAATATGGCTGCCTTTAAAAACTAATAAAATTTATTTTATACAACCGCATGGGGACCAACCACAAAGCTGGTATTTATTGCTTCAATGTATTTGAGGAAAAATACAAGATTTTCAGCAGGATCTATCACATTAAGAAAATAAAGAAGTGGGTGGTTTTGTATTTCCACGTGGCACAAGGCATTTTTAGGGAGTGACGTTAGGCGGCGGGAAAACGACAGAATAGATGAGATCAGCATATCATGATGTGGCACAACTGCCACATAAGCTTTAATAGGCTCGATTGTAGGACCCGCAGGCTTCTTGTCCGTCGAGGCAATGTTATATATGTATGTAACTATAATAGACTATATAGTACTGAAGTCTGAAGGTCTGAGAGAGTTGACTGGAAAAGGAGTAAGTCAATAATATTATTTTCAGAAATTTCAAAATTTTAACATGTATCATTTTTATATGGCCAGTACAGTACCTATTAACACATACAATTCAGTATAATAATATCTGAAATTAATACTCGTAATCTGAAGTTTGAAATAAATTCATTAAGATTTTTTTATATAGCACTATTTTTTAATTTTTTATGAATTATAAAAAGATTTTATAAATTATAAATATTAATTTATTCATTAATATCTCTATTAAGTAAGAAAAAAAATTGACAAAAAAATTTATAATATTTCCTGATATTATTATAGAGATTTTGTTGTATACTGTATTAAACTATGTATGGCCCCCTTGGGAATGGTTTCTTCTTGATGTGCCGAGAGCTAGTACTTTCTAACATCTATGTATTTAAATTAGCACAAGGACAAAATAGATATTTCTCAGATCGATCCAACCCTAAACAGAAAAAAACGAAAATCATTGGTCAGAGAAAAACGAAAATTATTGGTCCATTTATGGTTGGAGAATAGGGTTGTGTAATAAATATCGATTGCAACGTCACAGTTTTAGCTTAACGAAATTGACTTTCTTTAATTGTTCTTAGAAGACCGAAAACTGAAACTGGATGAGGATTCCTCGACACGACCACTATAACTGGAAACTTTAGTTCAGATTCTAGAACATGTTAATATATGTATTTAATAAACGTTTACCAAGCCTAAAACCCGTGTTTACTGTGGCTAAAATTGATATGGCTCTAAATTGTATATTGTATAACAGCGATCTGTAAAGGATTAACAGATGAGATCCTATGTTTTTTTCTTAGAAATA